TGTTTAAAATGTAGCTTTTATTTTTTTCAAAGTTTTATGTGCACATTATTTAAAGGGTCTAATAACTCTACAAAGCTTGTTGTGAAAAGCATCCCTCTTCCCACCAGCCAATCCCCCCCCTATAATTTTCTACTTCTCTGAGGCTTTCTACTTTCATATCATTTAGTTCTTTCATGTCCATATTTTTCAATAACATGCTTATTTTATTACTTCTTGAGTCTTCGGTTTTTGGCATTTTCTGTCGCTTTCTCATTATCGAAGTTGTTTTAGCACTCCTCCTCCTCATTCCTTCCATACACACGCACATGCCCTGTTCCCCATTATCCTACTTTAATATATTAATGTTTTGAGTAGGTCATTTTTATTATTTATCTTATGATGACAAGGGGTATTATTCAAAATATTGAACAAAATATTTATAGGCACCAACCAGACAGGATCCTCCAAGACTCTTACTATGCCAGTCATTAATCCTCTAGTTCCTCATTTATGAGAAGGACCTAGGGTGCCTTGGGAAGAATTTAGGATGAAACGGGCTCCGGCAGCAGATTTTCACCAATCAGTAATATTTTAATATACCAATTTGTAGGTACTGAATATAAGCCAGTTTATGATTAGAAAACTCTTCACAACCAACCATCTAATACGATTACTTTTCCTTTCTTGAGCTGCATTTTGTTTTCTCTGGAGCCAATGTTTATCTTATTTATTCATTTGCTTACTTTTCTGGATATAATTCCAAGTCAATTCCAAACTTTACACTGGTTTTCTACGGCTCCTTTCATTTTGGTATTAATCAGGGTAGGCTAAGCTAAGCTATATTATAATGAACAACACTAGAGAATCAGAGGACTCTAATATCAGAGGCTTATTTCCTTTTTGCTTTACGAGTGTGCTGCGAGTTGGCAGGGTCTCTGCTCCTTATCCCTTTACTCTAGGTCCTAGGCAGATGAGCCTCTATCTTCGGGAGCGCAGGTAATTGCTGACGCCCGCGGAAGGGGAACGTGGTCAGGCACTAGCTCTTACAGGATTCCTGTTGCACCATTAGCCAGAGTCAGTCACATTGCCATCTCTAATTTCAAGACAGAGAAACGTGCACTATTACTGTGAGCCCAGAGGAAGGAAAACTGAAATATCTGATGCATGCATGATGCTATGGGCTATCGCAGCTGTGTTCAGCAAATTAACTATTCTGTCCATTTTGTCTCCTTTCCTGGAATCTTCTGGTCAGTTTCAAACTGCACTGGCTGCCCAAAGGCCGGCTACAAAGCTGTTGTCTTGGAGTCCGCAGCTAAGAGGGGTTCCTTAGCTCCTGGTTTGTACGGAATCCGTTTCCTCAATTCCATTTCTTCTCTTAGTTGATTTTTTCCTTTATTTTAATCAAGCATGTATTCTAGAAACTACCTGAGAAAGAATCCGTGGAAGTAAAATGTTTGAGACCTTTGCTGTGTGAAAATGTCTTTATTGTCCTTATATATTTACCTGAAAATTTGGCTGGGCATACAATTATAGGTTGGAAAGGCATTGCTTCACTGTATTCTAACTTGTGGTATTTGTGTTTAGAATTCTATTATTGCAATCTCTATTGCTATGACTTTCTTTTTTTTTCAATACCTTACGAAACCACTATTACTCAAATATTATAATACCCGAACTAGTCTTCTGATTTTCTTACATTTTCCCTTTATTTTCTATCTCTTTGCGTTCTTGTTTACTTTTTGTGAGATTTCCTCAACTTTATGTTTCATCTTGTACTGTCATTTTAATGGGGTTCTTGTATTGCTAAATGCGTATTCAAACTTCCTTACTTAATAAAAAAAAAAAATCTGATTATTGCTAGTTTGGATTTTCTTTCCCTGTCAAATGCTGGTATAAAAGAATTAGATTTACTGAATCCATTTTCTTTGCTTCTTATGTGTTCTCTTGAAATTTACATTTGTGCTTTTAGCTATAAAAGAATTTCACCAGCCTGTCTTTTATATTATTTCCTCTTTGTCTTTTTTTTTAGTATCTTTTTTGCTGCTCACTACTTTTATTCAATTCTTTTTAAAAGATAGAATGATTTAAAACATTTTCCAATAACTCTTCTGTATTATGCAATAACTTTTCTGTATTTTCCAGATGCTACATTTGCTCTTGTTTTATTGAATATGCAAATATATATATTCAAGAAGCATGATATATAATTTCCTGAATTCAGTCTGTTTCAATTGGAACTATTTCCCTCAAAATTTTCAGCTTGGTTCACGTCTTTCAAATTGTTGGTCTCTTCACTTATCCCATAATTTTTTTGTTATCTTATTTTATGGGTGGGAATTTTCATAGCTGAAAGTCTCATTATTTGTAGATCAATCAGGACTGAAAGCTGCTGCAGATTTCATCAAGAATTACAGTGTATAAGCTGTGTGTGTGTGTGTGTGTGTGTGTGTGTGTGTGTGTGTGTCCCTGTGTGTGAAATGAACTGTCGTTCTGTTTTTCCTCGTGGACAACCTATTTCGTCTCTTCCTTCACTTCCTCCGAATTGTAGGAGTGTTTCTTAAGCTTATTCTCTGCTTCATTAATCAAAAGACAGTTGCTATTTGGCTACTGCAATTTTATTTTGGAGCAGTCTTTTTTTTTTTTTTTTTTGAGCAGCCTTTTTTGATTCAACTAGAGTCATATCCAATGTTATCCTGTTGAGAACAGGAAGCAGTTGCTTTCCTAATATTGATATTGTTTTGGAGCAAATCAATTTCAAACAAAGAATTCTATTCTGATGCTGCAAGAATTTGTTCTTACTGTCTTTCACTGGGTCCTTTCCCTTTCCCTTTTCCTTTCCCTTTCTCTTTCCCTTTCCTGTCCTTTCCTCAGAGTCTTACTCTGCCACCCAGATTGGAGTGCAGTGGCAAAAGCACAGCTCCCACTGCAGCTTCAACCTCCCAGATGCAAGCGATTCTCCCACCTCAGCCTCCTAAGTAGCTGGGACTACCAGCGCATGCCACCATGCCCAGCTAATTTTTAAATATTTTTGTTGAGATGGGGTCTCTCTATGTTGCCCAGGGTGGTCTCAAATTTCTGGGCTCAAGTGATACTCTTGCCTTGGCTTCCTGAAGTGCTGAGATTACAGATGTGAGCCATCATGCCCAACCTGACTGTTACCATAGACTTCATTTTATTCTTTTCCTATTGGTTCATTCTCAAGCAAGGAGAAATGTTGACCCCATAAAGGCAAGGAGTCAGGAAATGAGGTTCGCCATCAGCCACTTCATGTTCTGCCCAAGCACTATGCATTCCTTTTCTCAGGTCAAACAAAGCAATTCCTGTCTTATAGAAAGAATTGGATGCTCAGCTCCAAGTACTTCCAAACCTCCATGTCAGCACTGTCAAACAAAGTTACTGAAATGATACTGTATCATCACACTATTGTATTTGCTCTGTCCAATAGAGTAGCCACATGTGGCTATTAAGCACTTGAAATGTGGCTAGTGTGACTGAGGATCTGAATTTTAGATTTAATTGTAATTAATTTGAATTTGAATTTGAATAGCCACATGTAGCTAGTAGCTGTCAGATTGGAGAACAGAGCTCTAGGCAACTCACAGCATTCAGATTGAGGAGAAAGTCCCCATTGCAGGAGTAATTCTTATTTTAGTTGGAAGGGAAATGTCAGCCAGAAGCTGATGGCCTTCTAAGATCCTGGATCCACAGAAGCAGAAGGAATCTTCCAGTGAGACTGAGAGGTCTTTTGGTTTAAGAAAATGTAGATTCAAACGATATTTGAACCTCCTGTATAGAAAGTACACATGCTTCAGGATAGTGACCCAAATGCTGACTGGAGTTGGAGAAAGATACATGGGACTGCAAGAAGTTAGCTTGACAGTCACTGATTTTTAATCGTTAACCCACCACTTCATAAATTCCCACCAGCATCTGCATATGGTTGTTTCTTGCTTCTCATTGTGGCTACACAAAAGTCTTCTTTTATAAGGTGTAACAGGTACTTTAAGGAATCTCTGGGAAAAAGATTTCCTTGTACTTTCACTACTTAGCCATCTTCCCAGAATTCTTCTGACTTTATTTTCAAATTTGAAGAAACAGAAGTTATCAACCAGGCAGATAAAATGATTAGTTTGATCATCTAGGAAGTGAGAGCTTGTAAAAGGCATTTGTTTGAGTGCTCCAGTTAATCTTGACAGCACCTTGCCGTCTGACACTCAATTTAATGTGAAATTTGGAGAGAAAATAGAAAAGGAATGGTGCAGGTGTCATCTGTTAGCACTTCGAAGACAAGGTCACTTCTATCCTGCCTGCTGGGACCCTCCCCATCCCATTCAGATTCCGCAGTCTCTGGTCACTTTGCCCTGAAACTCAGCAAAGCATCTTCCCACCAGGCTTCACCCTAATCAGATTCTTTTTAAGCGCAAAAGATTAGTTCCATGATTACATCCTCAAAACTCCATCTACTTGGCACTGTGGCCAGGTTCCCAAACAGGCTACAGACTTACTGTCAATGAGTTCTGTGAAACGGGTGGCACACCGGGATGGACTTATTTGCTTTCTGCTTTAAGTAGAAAAATTGGATTTAGAAAGCTTTTCCTAATCTGGATCTCTGCAGTATATAATAAACTTCTTACATCTGTCACCATCAGCATTCTCCTTGCAGTCTTTACCTTTTATGTTTCAAAGAGGAGACAGGAGTGCCCTTTCTTTCTCTTCCTATTCATGCACTGTCTTGGGACAGCTAGCCTTGAGAATTAGTGACATCTTCCTGGCTGGGGTGATGGGAGACCGGAACAAATTTAGGATTGCCCTCTATATCAGCCACGTTCCATCCCTATTAACTCTAAGGAGGAACTCTTGATGTAGAAGCTTCTAACTCTTTGGAAACTTTTCAGACAGAAAAATAAAAGTCGAGCCCAATACTCTATGAAGACATTCTTTATTGGGAACATTGATTACATCCTAGAGGCAATGTTTTCAAAGTAGGGACTGAAGTCCACTTGCACCAGAATCATCTCTTGTGCTAGTTCCAATGGGCATTCCCAGGCCTCACTCCAGGCCCCACTGAATCAGAATCTCATGGCTTTATCTGCATTTTAACACCTGTCCGGGTGATTTCTATGCATTGCAAGAAATACCCTGAAAGAAGTCATATTATTAAAGAATTCATTCAATGGTCACTCTTGGAGGCTGGGGAATTAGACAGCAGTCTTTTCATCAGCAGAGAAGCGTTCCAGTGCAGAGTAAGGTGTGAAATGTGAAGAATGAAAGAGGCAACAGTTTTAAGTCTTGTGCCATTATTTGCTTGCTGTAGGACCATACAAAAACAATTTAGCCTTCCTGACTTGGTTTCTTCATTTGCAAAGACATTAATGCTTGCTTCGCAGGCTTGATGAGGTAGGAATAGAAATCACCTGGTACAAAGTGAGCACTTGATAAACATTTTCTATTGTGATTTCTCAACAGATGCTATGTTTAAAGAGGTTTGATGTATGAAACAACTTGATTTTATGAAGGAATAATTTGTTTATTCAACAAAGACATATACATCTGCCAATTAGAGTTCTGATGAGCTTAAGTTCTTCCACTGATGTCATTCCTATCAGTTGCGAAGGATTTTGGTGTCCCAGACTGAACATTGACATTTGAGATTTTTGAAATTTTCAGGTAGCTCCTATATCCTCATTACTACAAATCTTTGTCAATTCTTACTGATACCTAAAACTAGTTGGCAGCTGCAAGATTTTAGGCTCATGGTTAGCTAACAGGAACCAAATGTCTCCACGTCTTACAATTGAGAGAACAATTCAAGAGGGCTGAATTCATAAAGCCACAGTTACACCACCAGAATCATTCTATGTTAGGGCTGTCGATTGAACATTACTCATCCTTTTTCCCTGCAGAATTTTCTGGGGATTTGAGGACTGATTTTGCCCTTCAGAAATATCTTTCTTCATGTTTTACAGGTTAGTTTTGGGAGTAAGATTCACCTGGGGGATGGGAAGTCAGGAATCTGGCTCCTCTCTAAGGAGAAGTCTGAAGTACAAGAGGGCATGTCCAGCTGGGGGCTCAAAGTGTTCTCCAGGTGTTCTCAGAGGTGCCCGAGAAGTCTTGGGGGAAGGAGGCTAAGATCTGCCTTTCACAGCCCTTTTCAACCACAGCCACTCTGCAGGTAATCTGTTTCATGTTTTAGTATCCACGTATGAATTTATTTGAAAAAAGAGAGTCATTGTAAAACACTGAACAACAGTCATTGAAAATTATCAATGTGGTCCAACACATTAAAGTTTGAACTATGACTGAACAAACTGAATTTCCATCAGGGAGCTTAAATGCCTAGAGTAAGAACTCATGGTTGGATTAAGGCAATCACTGTGCTTGGCTAGCTGCCTGTCTATCTATCCATCTATTTATCCATCCATATCTGTGAAATGGCATCATTTCTTACATTTTGAAGATGAGGAAACCAAGATGTAGAGAAGTTGTGTCTTGCCCAGATTCACACAATTAGTAGCTGGCAGTAGTAGAAGCTGGGATTCCAGAAGAGCTAGTCTGACTCCAGGGCTCACACCTTTATCCACTAGGAAAATCTAAGAACATTTTACCAGAATGTTGTTTTGGAACTACACCTAAAATGATAAGAATTATTTTAAATAAGAGGTGGGAGAGGATTGTGGGGAAAATATTCCAGGCAGTGCCCAGTACAAAGTACTGAAGGCCTATTAAAATGATAAAAACGCAGTGTGGAACCATATTTTGGAAAGGCTTTGTAATTGCTGTCTCAAAGAGTGAGACTTGAATTCCCAGTGCACACAGACTAGAACTTAGCTCTTAACTATGAAGCGAAGATGGGCTGGGAGACAGCATGAGGATTGGGGTCAGTGGCTGCCACCTCCCAGTTGTGCAACACCAGGCAAGCTACTTAATCCCTCTGTGCCTGGGTTTCCTCATCTCTAAGATGGGAGCATAATAGCCACTTCACAATGATATTAAGAAGATTAAATGGGGTAGTGTACATAGAGGCATTAAGGGTAATGCCTATCCTGTGATAAGTAATAGATGGTTGCTAATTATTTGGATTGACTCTCAACCTAATAAGACAAGCTAATTTTTTGAGCACTGATATGTGTTGGGCATTGCACCAAACACTGAATAGGCATTATTTAATCTTTACAACAACAGCTCTATGAAGCAGGTGCTCTTATCTCCCTGATTCGCAAAGGATGAAACTGAAGAGGAATATAGTGTTGATTTTAGTGTCTGATTCCAGAGCTCTTAACTATTACATGGCCCTGTCCCCTTTACAGGACACTACTTGGGAATTTCAGCAAGTTTTCATGTAGACAGGAGGTTCACTGGAGAGAGAGATATTTGTAACAAATGGGCTTTATAACAACCTCATGAAATTATACCAAGGAGATGATAACCAAGTATTAGGTCTTATGCCTCTTGAAGGGTTCATAGTCTCTTGTATGAAGTCTAGGGTTTTGCTTTCTGCATACTCTTAACTCTTTTACCACCCATTCCATGAATGTATTTTATTTTTTTACATCTTTGTAAAAGGCTATATAAGTTAGCTTTAACAGTCTACCCTGATATCCAGTGACTTAAACCCTCAACCATTTATTTAGCTCATGATTCTGTAAATTGGCAGAACGGGCTGGGCTCAGCTCTGTGATTCTTCTTTTGATCCTGGCTGGGTTATGTATAAAGTCAGCTGCCAGATCTGCTGGGGCTTGTTGGTCTGATGGGATGTTCTGCGGGGATGATTCATTTGGTCTTTCATTTTCTAGGGTGCTAATCTGGGTTTATTCTTGTGGTGGGAGAAGAGTTCCAAGAACTAGAAGAGAGAGAACAAACCCCAGTGTGCAAGTACTTTTAACGTTTCCACATTTTGAATGTCTGCTGTTGTTTCCATGGCCAAAGGAAGTCACATGACCACTCTCAGAGTCAGTGTGGGAGGAGGCTGCTGGAGGGAGTAAAGCAGGCACATGAAAAACTTGGATGCAATGCAGGAATAATCTACCACCTAGGTTTTAAAAAGTCAGCCACGGTGGCTCTGCAGAGCTGCTGTATAGTCACAGGTTTGGAAGGATGCTGGAGGAAAGCATCTTTTGTCAAGTTGCACTGGGTACTCAGCTTTTACTTGGGAGCAGTTAGACACCTTCTTGGTGTGACTGTGGTATCAGATGGTACCAGAGGTGACATGACACATCAGGGACCATACACTCTTAAGTTGTCGCCTTCCCACCCTCCATGTCCAGCCCTTCAATCTAAAGGAGGACTCACCAGAGATAGCATTCTAGTAGCTGGTGAGGGATGAGCTATGGAATGACTGGTTTTACTTTTATCTTTACTTTATTTATTTATTTTTTTGGGCACACAGGCTGGCACGGCCTGAAGAAAAAGCTGATACATCCATTAGAATTTATGCAATACTTAAGATACCCCAATAAAGGCATCTGCAGCCCTATCCAATGGCTGTCATTCTAAAGGACCATCTAAGTTGATCTTGTTTACCCTTGAAACAAGATTGTGGTGGTATCACCCCACAAACTCACTCAGGTAATAAATTTCAGGCTTACATTCAATTTAGTTACCATATTAATGGTTTTTGTAGTTTATGTTTTGCTCAACCGTATGTTATGTCCCATTTTATTTCATGAAGAGAGAAAATGCTGTAGGGTTTTTGAGGACCTTGGTATCTGGTATCCAGCCACACACACATTACGATACAACCCATTACTCAATGCTGGCCATTTTGGGAAATACAATAAAGAGTCTGGTGAAAATAATTTTTCAAAAGTACTTCTTGTCCTCCTGTGATTTCAATATAAATGTCAGCATTATAATAAAATTCACGGAAACAGGAAAAATTCCTTAGCTCTTTGTAAATATCTTAAGAAATAGTATGGTAATACTTTCATACCCTGAAACTTGGGGCTCAAAACAAAAATGTAATAATCAGATTCCATGGGAATGAGATGATGGCATCCATCCAGGCTCAGCCGTGTTTACTGCTGCTACTGCTGTGTGCCATCAGATTCTGGATTTTGACTGCAGTTTTGATGCCACAGACCTTGTGTGGAGAGGTCCCTTTTGCATATGCAGTTCCCTTACAGTTTCCACAGATACCTTTAATGGGGGTTTGAGGATTTCAGAATTCAGTGCCCTAGGGACATGTTGTTGTTGTTAGACCATCAGCTCAGTTCATTCCAATAAGCATTAGTATAGTTCCTTCTGCACCAGGTTCTGTAGCAGGTTCTGAGCCAGGCATACACATAGCCCTGACCCGTGGAAGCTTCAAATCTGGTAGAATTCAGTGACAGAGGCAGGCCTGTGGGATGAAATAATATCTTTGATAAAGATACCAAGAAGTACCTAGAAGAGAGGAACACACTGTAGAGTGGGGAGGCAGGAGAACAGAGAGGAGATGTTTAAGGGGTATTTTGAAAGATAAACATTAAAGGACATTCTGTCTGACTTGGTGAAAACTGAAGATTAGAGAGCTTGAGCAGACTACTATGGCTGGAGAGACAGTGAACTAGTTTCCTAACTACCTAATATGCTTGACAAAACAGCTAGACTATCTAAATATACTTAACAAAATGTTGATATATGATAATTTTAAAATAAAAGTTGAGCATACCAGAAAACAAGGGAAACTCCCCGTGGTTGAGAATGGAAGGGGAGCAGGAGTCCAGAGAGGTAAGTGATGGTCAAAGTTTCTGACTACCAAGAAATTTCAGGTTAGCCAGGAGCTCTGGCTTCGGTAGCTGTTCCTATGTCTAAGGGAGGCAGATAAAAAGATCTCAGTCGGGAGAGAAGCCAGTGGTGTACTCCTGTGGTAAAGCTGGGACTGACGAAGGACAACATTCTCAGGGAAAGAGTGAACTAGAAAAAAATATCTATGCCATAGGGGCAGATGGCAAAGAACCCTGACTGATTTAAACTGACTCTTGAAGGGTGGAGAATGTGGTGATATACCAGCTTTAACATAGGTTCAAGGCTTGAATTCACAGTGTTTGCATGGTCTGAATAACCACAAGCTAAGAATTCAAATTGTGTTCACTCGTGCAGACTCAGCAGGAGTGAACACAAATTTCTAAAGGAACTCAGATTCAATTCATTCATAAAGAATTTTCGTAGGCTGAGTTCCAGCGAGCATGAACTCAGAAATGACAAAACATACAAGAAAATAAAGCATCATGAGTGAGAGTCATCAGAGACAGTCAGTAACAGCAAATAATGACCTTGAATGTTTAACATGTTTAATACATTTAAAGAAATAAAATAGGAAAGCAAAACAATGAATAAGGAGTGAAAGGCTATCAAAAATGACCTGTCATACCTGAAGAAGTACTAAATAGAATGTCTAGAAATTAAAAAAAAGGTCATTGAAGTAAAAAATTCAGTGAAATAATGGCCCTAAACTAAAAAAAAAAATGCAAAAATTCATCAATAGCAGAAGGAGTGAGTAAATTGTGATATATTCATATAATGGAATGTTACAATACAATGAAAAGAGAAAAATATTGCTAATGCAACACCATAGATAAACATCATAGTCAAAATATGAAGCCAAACAGGCCAGATACAGAGCATATGTACTATATGAGTCCATGTATAGAAAGTTCAAAAACAAGCAAAGCTAATCTATGTTGATTGTGGTCAGAATAGAGGTGACCTCATGCGGTAGGGTACTGATAGAGAAGTGGCTAGCGGGAGGGCCTCTGGGGTGCTGGAGGTATTCTACATCTTGACATAGATGGTGGCTACCTGAGTGTGTACACCTGAAGTGTCATCAGGCTGTCCATTTAAAGATTTGTGCTTGTACACTATGTGAATTGTATCTCAATACAAAAGCATAAAAACTTAAATGGCCCTATCTTCCAGTTCCTTTGACCCCCAAGACTAGATTAGCCACAGCCAAAGAGAAAATTAGTGAACTGAAACTGAGAGAAATACACAAAATTCAGCACAGAGAGGAAGATACGTGAAAATGACAGAGACATTAAAAGACAAATGAGGCAAGAGTGAGGTCTAAGCAGAACTCTAAAAGGTATAGAGAATAGACAACTTCTAAGAAAGACTCAGATCCTTTGATTCAGGATATCTAATAAACTCCACGCAGGATAAATAAAAGAAATCTACACCAAAATACATCATAGTAAAACTACAGTCCAAGGAACCTAGAAACTGCCCAGGTGAAAATAGAGATTGCCTACGAAGGACTGTCAGCCCAAGGAAGTCTTCTCAACAGTAATGTTGTAAGCTGGTAGAGTATGATGATATCACCAATGCCTTTGAAAGAAAGTAACTCTCAACCTAAAATTATAAACTAAGTGAATGAGGACAAAATAATAATAATTTAAAAATTAGGCAAACAAAGCAAAACTAAAAAATACAGATTTTTACTACCAGCAGACCCTCATTCAGGGAATTGCTAAAAATGTACTCTTAAAAGAAAAAAATGATTACAGGACTGAGATACAAGAAGGAATGAAGAGCAAAGGAATATTAAATAGCAAGGTGTATATACAACATGGGAAGTATTTGGTTCTCTCCACACACGCAAACACACACACGCACACACATAAAATAAAGAACTAGAGTGTTGTGCAGGGCAGGCTGGAGACTTATGCTAAAGCAGGGCATAGTGACTTCAGTTAGTTGAATTGAAATGGAATCCCCCTCTGTATAAGTCTATCTTGTATCATGAGTTGGGAGTTTTGTTACATTCCATGGAATTTCCGGAATTGCCACTGGACATTGACCTTGTTAGATGAATTAGTTCTGCCATATCTAACAATTTTCAATGTTCCCCTTCTTGGTAGTTGTTGAAAATAGCAAGCCCATAATAAGATAAAAACAGATTTTATTCTTATAATGCAAGTAAAGCCTAGAGATTAATTAAACAGATTTTATTCCTTTACATAATTAGAAAATTATTTGCAACATCAGTCCTAATAAACTTGGATTTGTTTGACAAATGGGATGATTGGTTCTGGGATAAATATATGTCCTTTGCAAATACTTTTGATATTGATAGAGGGCATGGCCTCTTCAGGAGCAAATGATACAAATGCCTGCCCTTTGAAGGGTGCCCGGTGCTGTATAAACATTCAGTATTACTCTCAGTCACGGTGGGGTGAGTACAGCTCCCTGCAGTGGGTGGAGAGGGTGGCTGCTGGCTGCCTCAGCTGATAATTCGAGAATCCATTTTCTTGGCATTCTGCTATCATTGTTGTAATGACAGACTGGTGGTTTTAAACCTTGACCTCAATTTTCTAGTTCTTCCACGACCCCACAGATCCCTTCCATCTTAAACATTCCTTCAGTGGCCTTTAATTCCTCAGTGAATATTTTAACCTAAATAAAATTTTCATCTTTTCAACCTTCAACAGACAGCTCAGAGCTCACCTTCTCTGTAAATTCTGCCCTGAATTCCCTGGCAGGATTAACCATACTCTCCTGCCTGCTCCCCTGCCACTCATAGCTCTCTATGGCAATTATTTGTAAGTAGACAGAGAACACAGGAAAGGCAGAGACTCTGTGAATTTCTCATGTCTCCATCCCCAGTGATCAGTCCAATAAATGTGTGCTACACTGAAATGGAATTATTTCCATTTGAACAGGAACATGATTAATATGACATTGCATCCATAGGCTTATAGTGAAGACGGCCTTGGCGAAGCATTGTTTCTCAGGGCTTATGAATGTCTTCAAGAGCAGTTCCGATGATATCGTCTCGTGACATCTGTCCTCATTAAGTAGTTGGAGCAAATATTCATACCTTCATCTGATAGATAAGAAGCCCAGGAAGAGAAAGCTTAAGTGGCTCACACAAGGCTCAGCAGTTTATGCAGGGTGTAAGTCAATGGATAGGGTGGTGGATGGGAAATAATAAGAAATAGGGTTTGTACTCCTCAGAGAAATGACTTCATTAATTTTCTCTCCATTTACATCCAACTCCATCTTCTCCAGTTCTTTTCTTCGTGGGATCAGAGGAGCAGCCTTTTGATAGAAGGAAGGCATACCACTGAGATGCTGAATATGAACTGACCCTCACGTGGGGACCATTTTCCTGTAGAAGCAGCAACAATCATAATGCTCGCTTGAACTTGGTGCTTTTCTTCTCTTCAGCATAAAGTCTGAAGTTACCCGCTGATGCCTTCGGCACGGCAGTGGGCGGATGAACAGAGGAGAGGCTGGGGACTGCGAAGTGTGTTATTGTGGAGAAATTCTTGGGGCTCTCGGGGCTGTGAATGGATTTGGTGAATAAGCCAAGCTGGGGCAGTTCAATAGGTAGGGTGATAAGGAGGAAGCTGTGACATTGTTTCTACAGAAGGAATCGCTGGAGATCTCTCAGGGGCTGTGTTGTATTCAAGCCACTGAGCAGAAAGGCTCATGGGAGGACTACGCCAAACCTTTAGACTTAAACAAAAAACCTACTTCTTAGGAACCCCAGGAATGTCAAGAAATCTAATTTCATAGAGGATTGGAAGCATTGATAAAAATCAATAGCTCTTTGACTTTGGGGTGTTGGTTTTCTCAGGTCTGTAATGCAACCCAGGTCTGTGGCAATCTCTATCGTGGCATAATGCAGTGTTTTGTGCAATAAAAGAGCACTCATGAAAATTTAGGAGTCTTGAATTGACAGCTCTTCTTTCATGTATTTCTTTTGGTACCTTAGAGGATAGATTTCCAGAGCACAGACCTCCCTGGCCTCACCCTGGTGCCATTTTCAACTTGCAGGAGGAGGGTGGGAAGAGAGACAAGAATAAAACAGTGTGGCATGCTTGGAAAACTGCAGTCGTTCTGTGTTTCTGGGGTATGGAGGATGTGGGGAGCAGTAAGCAATGAAGCAGGAGAAATGATCATGGACCAGGTTGTGGGGACCTGATGGGCCAGGCCAGGAAGTATGGATCAAAGCCAAGGGGACTGCCCCAGGTGTAGGCTGGCTTTGAGGGGGTGCTGGAGTTCAAATCATGGCGTCCAAAGGTACATGGCATACTTGGGCTTGATTCAGGTTGCACGGGTATCATAGGGTCTGATCTGAGGGCAGTGTATGCCCACAGGAATTTCCTGGTGGTAGTGACATTTGATGCCATGTGCTGGGTAGCCTTTTCTGGGTGATCAGGACCCTATGTTGTTGCTACAGAAACAGGACTCGGGATTTAGTCCTCTGCAGGAGAGGGCTGGCCAAGACAAGGCCTAATGCCAGGGTCCTAGGAAAATGGGCTGGGGTTCAAGGAAGGAATAGCCCAGCTGCTGTACACACTGGGCCAATCCAGAGTAGGAGAAGTTGACATAAGAAAATGGAGTCCAGGCAGC